AACACCCGTGTCCTTACCTGAATCTCACAGGTCCCGAGTAGCCATTCGGATGCCACAACGCTCTCACTTGGCTCTTTAAATTCGCGTTGTTGTGTGCTACGGCGTCCTAAGGGGGAATGATATTGGCTATAGTGAATGGAATTTTTTTGTTGTGGGTTATGTGTTTGTGCAGGAACAAACACATATATTGTAATGTATATACGAAATAGGATATACTGTGAATACGCATTGGACGTATTTACATGTTGAACCTATTGTCACTGTTTTTTTTTCTTCTTTATTTATTTGTTTATTTCCCGGCGATAACTGCTGTTGGAAAAAATGTATATGACAACTCTGATTCGACAAGTCTCTTTTATTGATAAAATGATAATGAATTGTCACTGAAGGTATTGAATGTCAATGAGAATATTAAGAAAACGTGGATGTATAAACTTTTAAAAATACAAAACACTTGTTAACACTTTCTTATTATTTTGTCACTACTGAGACCAGTTCGGAGTGTTCTCGAGTCGTTGGTGAGTTGCCAGTTTCTTCTTTCCTGAGATTAGGCGGATTGTAATTATTAAGAAGACAAAGGGGATTAATGAGAAAGTTTTTAATAGAAAATATATACCTAATACTACGATGTGTAAATTTTTTTTTTCATTTACTGTTTCTGTGTTGTAGAAGGCTTGGACGTTGAACAAAAAATCGACATATTCCAAAATTAGTCTATGTACATTATATAATATAAACACATTTAATATTTATAGAGAAAGTGGCAGTTAAAGCAAAGAGGAGACGGCAGGAAAATACTAGTCATACAAGAGAAAGTTTAAAGCACACACCATGATGTTCCCAAGGCAGAAAGTGAATGTTAGGTACACCAGGAAGAAAAAAAAAGAAGGAAAACTGGATAAGTAGGAAGAAAATGCAATAATAAGGTTAAACAGAAAAAAAAGAAATAAAACAGGCACTAAGGCTACACACAAAATACAGAAGAAATGAAATCAAAAGTCACAGCAACCTCCTGCACAGCCCCCACCATTAGAAAAAAAATACTAATAACAACAAAATAACAACAACAACAATAATAATAACAATAATAATCATAATAATGAGTGTCAGAAAGCGATCATTACCCCTTCGTTGTCGCAGTCCAGGGTCTGTCCGTCGTCGACCTGCCTGAAGACGCCGACCTTCTCTCGCCTGGGAGTGTGGGCCTGCATTAAGAGGCCCTTGAACTGGTCCCTCCTGCCGAATGCCGTCACTGTTGACAAATGTAAGATTAACACTTGCTAGTAGGTTTTGTTTCGGGGATTACTTATAATTTTAATGTGTGGATAAGTTATTCTTGTAGGTTGAACTCTGTGTATCTTACATTTCAATATCATGCTTTGAGAGCAAGAATAAAAGAGCTTTCAAATTTGTAAGTGGTGAGTGTTCGCTCTATAGTGAATTGTATCATGATATGGGAAAGATGTGTCGTACTTACTCTACAGTAAGTGCGGATGTTTTATGATTGTGAAATAATGATGATTATTATATTGATAATGGTGATTATCAATAACAAGAAAAATAATAATGATATTAACAGTAATAACATCATCATAATGATGATGACTGAAATGATGGTAGTGAAGATGACACATGATGGTGGTGGTGATGATATTGATAATCATGATGAGAATATTAAGTTAATGAAAAGGACGATAATAATGTCAACAATAGTAATAAATATAACAATACACAAATAACACCTATAATGCTACTAACAATACCCACGAATCGCCCCAATAACAAACCCAGGTAATATCCGGCCTCGTATTCCTCCGCGTAGACCTCGAAGGGCGAAGGCGAATTCTCGGCCGACGTGAGCAGATGCCCCGGGGCCATCGAGTTGCACGCCCACCCCACGCTCCCGCTGCTGAAACCCGAGGCCACGCCCACCGCCGTCATCAGTACGAGCAGCAACATTCTGGAAGTCAGGTATTTGTGGAGTCGGATAGATGGATGTGCAGTAAGTTATTCTTGTAGGTTGAAACACTGGGTATTGTACGTTTCATATCATGCTTTGAGAGCAATTATAAAAGAGCTTTCAAATTTATAAATTGGATGGTTTGGTAAGTGGTATTCGAGTGTTTGGGTATGTTATACACGTTTTCGTTTTATGCTGTACGTGTATGCTCTCTCTAAGGTGTACGAATAGTCAGGAGGTTGTCGGTATATTACCTTAAGCTTTATTATTTAAATAAATAAAATAATAAAAAGATCATGTATGTCGAATCTGAATTGCATTGTTTGATGGCGATGGAAAGAAAGAGAACTTTCCATCTTTTTATTTCCATCAAACAATGGGTTTAAAAGATATAATAACTACACAGCTGAGAATCAAAATCAAGGTTTATCTATGCCTGTTTGTATGTAGACGTCTTGCTACTTATCTGGCATATCCTCAGACCTGGTGGGGGTTTCGCTTGAGTTTTGTGAAGGACACATTTTCCTCCCTTTCTGCAGC